ATCTCACACTGGTGGACTTTCTGTATTCTAGAGCTATTTTGATTCTCTGCCTCTCTAGGTCGCAATTTTGGCGGCGATTCACGCGGTTAGAATGAGTTGGACCCGTGAGCAGAAATCCCTGCTGGCTCCACTGGTACGTGATCATAGCGGACTCAGAGTTTTATCTTCAGACTGGCACAAAAGAGTACGAATACTACAATAAACGAGTGCCTAACTAGCAAACTGTCCTATATTCTGGCGTCTTGGATTCTTCCCTGCCCAAGGTAAACATTTACTGGGAATAGAAGAGTCGTGCTCTAGGGGTGCTTGATTCATATTCGCGTGATGATAGAGCGGAGGATGGAAGCAGACTGAGTCCATCTGAGCATATCAGGTAAGATGATATATTTTGATTCGCGACGGGCATAAGCCTAGCACTCAAAGTCACGTAAGACGATAGGTGCTCTCACTACTTTTGCAGTTCTTGCCCGTTCTCAGCCTGTGACCACATGTAATGCAAAGACACCATCTGCTTGGAAGCCAAGGATACCTTCGTTTCATTCACGCTTCCCTCCCCACACTGCCACTCCTGACGAGGCTTCATTCGACCATACGCTAAGAGTAGCCCCTCTCCAACCAACAAGATGACGGCTATTCGTGGTTGCTTATTATCATTATTTTTATCCCACTAAGCCCGGTCAGATGCCCTAAGGGTCCAGGCATGTGAATATCCTAATTATTTACAAAGGAGGATATCAATTCGGTAAAACCCCCTGATACTATCTGTCTCATTTCTACTGGTTCTCCTGGGCTTCCTACGGGGAGTGCGTTTACACTGTTAATCTAGTGTGAATCCCGTCCTATCCTTAGCCACATCGTTTCAGCTTTTCGTCCATTGTTATCGCTACTTTCCGGTGAGCCGGAACCGTTCAAATCAGCCTTTGGCCAGGGTCCACTTTGTATTTCTCTCCATATCATCTGCGCGGTTCAGCATTGCCACAAAGGAGCCATCTAGTATTATATCCCCTCTTGTGCCTCCCAGACAGCTCTCCTCAGACAGTACCACCCCTCGCAAGCCCTCATTTGATTACACACCAAGAGGAGCCCTTTGCCCTTCATTATCTACCCTCCCCAGCCAACGAAGCGATGGCCATTTGCGGGTGCATAGCAGCCAGTAAATTTTACAAACAACCACTGGGTTCGGAGCTCTCCTAATACCGACATTAGGACTAAATCCATAGACATAGCGACCCTTCTGAAGCATTCGTAGAGGCCAGCCAACTGGGCGCTGCCGATCTGTGTTAAATGAAAGATTCTTATCAGCGACTTCTCGCAAGTGATTGGGGGACGTGTTGCGATGCCAGGAAATTCCCTATAAAGTATGCTTGCTGTAAGGTAGCTCAGTTAAACTTCTTTGGGTCGTCTTGAGTGGTGAAGAATGACGCAGCCAGTAGATGCCTTACCGGCCCGTGTCAAACTCAACTCAGGCCCACTGACTCTACGGCGAGAGCTGAGGGCTCGTCGGGATACCGCTGACAGGTTCTGAGTCATTTTCTCTGCGCTCCCTGCTCCTTGCGAGGCCTTTCGTAAGACGCGGAGGCCGGCGTGTTATGCCGCGGCTGGGGCTTTCTACTTGTAAGGTACACACGGTTGATGGGAAAGTTTAAGTTCCTGCAGCAAGCCTAGGAAGTGGATAGCTGATGTAACCCTGGCCAGGCATTTGGCCATGGCAACATGGTAATCTTTTATATGAGACAGTTGGTGGAAGTGAAACTTTCGCTGAGCTACCGACCAGCCGGGCGCAGGGAACGACGGCGCACACCACGCAGCGTGCATGAGAAAACAAATTATGCGCCGAAATAACCACGATTAGGGGTTGGCTTTGGTCGTCGGTCCTGGGCAGACGACTATCGCTCGCGCTATCCTCTTGACCGCCCGCCGCCCCTGAGCCGATGGAGAAAGTGTTGTCACTAGTCGATTGTTTGAGTTGGCAATAGGCCTCCGAGTTCTTTGCGGAGATGAATTTATACTGCTAGGTTCAGGATGCCGGCCTCAGCTCGGTACTGGTTCCCCCATTGTATCTCATGAGCAGAGTATCCACTTGAATTAAAGTCTCTCTCCCTCGATCGGCCTCTCGTCTCTATGAATCTTTGAGTTGCGACTATGCAGAACGCGCGACAGTTGGCTGGTTTCTGTTGCTCTGCTTGGGTCAAAGACTACTCTGCACATTCGGAACGTACCACAGTTAGAAGCTTCCCAGCATGTAAATGTATCAACACCAGCGTACGATCAGCTCGGGTTGCCTGTAAATTCCAACGGTTTATGGTGAAGATTAGTGGGCCATGTGGTGTTTGCACGGCATCTCCCCTCGCTATCGTGGACGGCAGCTCGATGATTCGGGTAGAAAAAGCTCTGGCATTTCCCGTAGTCCTCATGCAGAAGGCGAACCGGACTGACCAGGACAATCAAATCGCTCAAACTTCCCCGCAATAAAGACCCTTCGATGAAGTCAGACCGTATGATTTGACCAAACCTCCTCGCTACCGGTATTCGCGAGTAAAATACACCGTCGCATCGCGCATAAATCACCCATCTTACATCATATCTAGACGGCTCAATGCCTGATCGACGAATGGTAATCCGCCCAAGCTTCTCAAACTTTTGCACGTTTCGCTCTTGAATCAGACTGTTGGCATCACGTGTCGTGGTCATGAGATAACGGCTTGGTAGGATCAGATGAAGTAGAGTTACGGGGATGGGGGGGGAGGCGAGAATACACGGTATCTCGAAAATATACAAGCGATGCCGTGGTACGAAATGATGCGTGTAAGTTGGGCCGCGGGCGTGCGAGGGGATTTTACTCGCGCAACCAGCTCTTCCCGACACCGCTCTGTCCTCTCATTCGCCTCGATCAATAGCTCCGCCTGCACACGGATAGGCATCGCGAGCAATCGCAGAGCAGGATAGAGGCTGTAAAAGACGCAGAGAATGGACTCCACGAGCCAGAGACGCTTTCGAGCCTGAGGCAGGAAGAAGCTGCCTGTCCCGATATAGCCAGAGACTCTGTAGTTTGGTAGAAATCAATCACACGGCTACTTATTAACGTAGGCGGAAAAATACCCAACACCTGTTGTGTCCACTCCGAACCTCCAGCTCTCACTGTAGAGTCTGCAGAGCCAATGTTGAATAACAAAGTCGTCCTCACTTCCATGAGGATTCCTGACTACTTGCCCGGTCTATCTCGTCTTCTCTCTCAACTCATACCCCTGCCACCATTTACATGAAGCTAACCATGATCAGACCAGATGGTATGGTCGGAGCCCTTCTCATCACCAACCCTCGATCATGGAGGAAAAGCTATCCGAAGAGTTTGCAGAGCGTAGCCAGCACCCGATACGGAGATGATGGATTGGATCATGTCGGCCTCGACAGCTACAAAGAGGGGAGATATAGATGAATATGCGCACCTTTTAATCCTGAGATTTCTCACTCTTTGTTCATGACTCGGTTTACCAGGCGAGAAAGTTTTTCTATTACTTCGTTTACAGGATTACGACATTATGTACATGTAGAGAAATATCTCGACTCTGATGTATAGAATCAGGATGAATAGAAGAAAGATACTACAAAGAGGCAATCATGGTGCAATTAAGCCTTTTCGAAATCGTGGCTGTAAATTTCAGGATTTTAGGGGTATTTTGTTCTACAGGTCTGGGCTCCAATACTTTGCACCATCTTTACTCGCACTCATGACCAATAGCTTAAATGTGTGGAGCGGTGCAATTTTTTGGTAATTTCTTCTAGTCAAGAAATTGAACGCTATTCAAGCAACTGGAGCTGTAATCAGTATATATCTGGAACATAGCAGGCGAAGACTGCGGAACAGCCATTAATGGTTAGGAAAAATCTTGGTAGACACTAAACAGGTAAAAGTTTAGATTAAATTGCACACGTGGTTGGTCAGATCCTCAGAAAGCGACTGTAGCCTCACTTAGTTCGTAAACTTTATACTATGAGTGTTGCGAAGACATGAGGTACCAGATATTATACATAATAATTAACCAAATGTGAAGCTTTCGAATTGTTCTAGCACAGTAAAATTCTTTCCAGTTATCACGCCCATTATCTAGATCTTTATTTCACTGAATTGTTAATGATATTGGAGGTGAAATATTTTGGATCCTTGTAGGACCAGATTGAAGTTTCATACCCTCGAATAGTCACTGAATTACAGAACACGAGAAGGTATTTAAATTCGGGTATCGATTACTCTGTAATGGAATAGATCCATGGGGGAATGGAGCTGTTGATGTATCTATCTGTGAAAAAATTCAGGATAAAATTAATGAGGTGTGTGAATAGCTCAAGGTATACCCGAAACTCTACAGACCATGAAAAAGATTAATACCAACAGATGATCTGATCAGTATATGACCGATGAAATGTCCTTTAATGACTTTCACAGAGGTAGTATATATTGTACAATCCTTAATCTCAATCACCCAGAGGTTATCGACCAGTTGTTATGGGGAGCGACCTTCTTGAATATTTAGTTTTTGCGAAGCAAGCAAATACTCCTCCCACACTCGGATATCTCAAAGGTAGAGGGTTAAGCTTGAAAAACCATGATCCAAGTTCTTTCATTTTTATGCGGCCGTGTATTGTATGGACCATTACAGAAGTTATATTGTTGGGATGACTAGTTGGATTCTTGACATTCTGATCAATCAATGGCCAGAAATTATTTATTAAAGCTTTTTGCTCTGAAGTCTAGGCTGGATACAAAGCGAGGCTAGAATAGATTCATTTGGTTAGATGTGAAAATTAATCAAGGCGCGATAGACTAATTTTAATCATTCATTAGATGCAAAAGTAAGTTTTCATTTTTGAAAGATTAGAAACCTGCCCTCGCGAGACAGGAGTACAATGAGCATTTGAATCCTCATTTATTCGTACTGAGAGGAAAGAGATGTTAATATGTCCATTTGAATAAGTAAAACTTGAAGTAGTTGATAAAGGCATCATGTTCCGTTCCGACGTTGTGTATTACATGTCCTTATTTTACTCTGGGGACGGCCACATCGAACGACTCTTCCTATACGTGCGAACTCTACCAATACTGAGGAAGAAGATAGAGTACTCAAGCGGGGATCAGAGTTCTTCGATTCATTGGACTGCATTGCGAATCGTGAGATAATATTCGACGAACAAGTCGACAAATCTTCTGGACTTGAGTCGTGTGAGTTGTGAGGTGAATAAAATTTCGAGTAATCGTCATCGTCATCAACGTCGTCGTCGTGTGAAAAGTTAGATAAAAGTGACTGACGTATGTATCGAGGGCTGGAAGGATGGCTAGGGCTAAATTCTTCTGAGCCCTGAGAGTCGCTAGAATGGTTTTCTTCCAAAAATTCCTGAGGGCGTAGATCTTGAAGAGGCGCTGCATCTTCCCCTGTCACTGCCATAAAGCGGTTACTGTGAGTAGAAACCCGACAAATTTTTAAAGAAGCGACTGAGCAGTGGCGTCGAGCATTCATTAAATCTCTACAACTTCCGTTTACCGATTCCATTATTTGGGTTTCAGATAATTCGGGAACTTTAGGGCTCGGTGCTTCTTTGGGTGTCTCTTCTATTTGAGAGTTTAGAACATTTTTCCTTTCAGATTGAGAACTCTTTTCTGAACTCGTCGATATTCTTGACTTGTCGGATTCATCATGCTCTGAATCTGTTGCAAGTGCTAGGATGCTTGTTGTCACCCAGTCCTCAGGAAAATTTGCCCCAGAATTAGAATCAAAATCCAAGAGAGTAGACAGCTCGTCTTTCACATATTTTTTAGGTGATGCGTAACTTTTAGCAGCGCTATCATTTGATCCATAGAGTCTAGATCCCTTCATTGAAGATCCAAGATTTTGTCTTCCATATCCAGAAAAGGCACCCTCAATCTTCCTTGCAGCTTCGATTCTCTTTTCAGCATCGATAGCTAATGAAGAGCTCTTGTGATTCCAATCTTCATCTTTATCGGGATAGCAGTAATTATTTCTGATGTCGAGATGATTTTGACATAAAATTGGAGTGGAGCTACTTTTAATGTTTCGTAACGAGGAGTCGAATAGGTTATCAATTTCTTTTTGTTCATCATATTTGACTTTATGAGTCAAATGGCTAGTGAATACCATCTGAGAATTTTTTGGCTTCAAGTCAAAGTCAAACCCTGATAAATCAGAGGTAGAATGTGAAGTATTTCGAGAGAATTTTTGAAAACGATGCGATGACTTTGACGCCAGTGATGAGTTCTCGCAGCTAGATCGAACGCTATTAGATATGGATGCTTCTTCATCATTCTGCTGGTGATGAATGCCTAGGACTGAAGAAGCTTTTCCACGGACTTTCGAAAGATTCTCATGGCATGAGATTTCTTGTGAGTCATTCAAACTCGGTACGGAACTTGACGAGCGAGACTTTGGAATACTGGAATCAAAGTTCCGATAAGACCAGCCGTTTCTTTTCGATTCAATATCGAGGTTGATTGCTTCTACACCCAAGACGCGTAGAGCTTTGGGTATGTGGTTGTCCGCCTCTGCCACTGAGCTATTCTGAGGAGCATTTTTTCGTCCTGAGACCGGGAAGTAAAATTTACCAAGCTTCGCCATAACCAAAACCTCTCGAATTTTTGTAGGAATTACCCACAATTAGGACGCGGTAGGTGTTTGACAGGTTAACTTCAACTTTGCTTTCATGAATAGATGTTTCGAAAAGATGGAGAAGTAGACGATAATATGCAAGGCATTTCTGATTGGGGTGTTTGAGGGGGGAGTCCGTGAGCAGCTAGGATACATTGCCCAGGTCATAGCTCTAAAAACGGCCGAATAGCTTAGAAGTGGGTATTAATAACATGGGGTTTTAAGCATTGATCAGTCAAGTCGCGTAGAATTAACCCCTGCTAATCTCTGCCTTTAGATCGAGGTGCATCAGATTCCGCTAGTTTATTTTAATAGTTCTAGATTTAGACAGTCCAGCCTAATATGGCCTGATATCCTCTATGCATGGAGTCAGCAGGGGGCAGCGTTCGATTAAAACCCCATCCAACTGACTTGGATCCAATGCCCTGCGCAGATCTCTCACCCCTCTCCCCATCAAGTGACTAATCCACTCAAGATAAATCATTGATGTGATGAAACATACGAATCCATCACACGCAGCACAATGCAGACACAACACGAATCAATTCAATTTAGCCTAGTCGGATACTATCACAAGAGCGGGTGTTCACAGGTTGAGACAATGCCTCCGCCTGGACTTGCACTAGCAAACTACGGCCGTTCCTCTTAAGTAGTGGATGAGTACACTGTCATGCGCTAAAAGCAGCTTTCAGCTTGGCGAAATCCCTAACACCGACGATGGTCAGGTCCGAGTATTCAGGTTCTCCAACACATCGATCAGGCAGAACCAACCTCCTGAAATTGCGCACATGGCCGATGGGCCCCCATCATGGAGAAAAGTAATAGATCGGATCTCTCGTCTTTCTGTAAGAGGCCCTTTAAGCGAGAATTGCGCTGCTAACAGGGATGGGCGTTAGCTGTGTTGGAGATGCTTCAAATCCCGAACCCACAGAAAGCAACCGCCCATGTAGCTGTCATCTGAGCATACACTACAAAATGATCGGTCCTAGGCCCGTGGCTCGGAGGAAAGCTTTGACAGTATCTCTTGGACTGCCGCACCTACTATAGCTCCATGCACAGCCCACTATGGCCAACTCTAGCATACACCCGTTCACCGCCGTGATCCCATCTCTCGGTCGTCCGCGGTGAAATTCGCGGCAATTGGTAGATGATCTTTTAATACAACGTTATTAGCACATTGAATACCTTGGAAAATATTTGCCAAGTTATTTGGCAGATATGATGTTAAGGTTACCACCCGTCAGTTATAATACTACTATCCTGTCCAGTAGATTCAATAGTCATACCAGCCGAAACATTATCTCTTCGAAATAACTGGATCAGTATTAGAATGTTGAAGAAGACAAGAACCCCCGGTATGTGAAATATTCTTCGATCTTGAGATCGTACTCCACCTATAATATTGTGTGAAACGAGAGATTGTCTAATATCCCGAGCATCACTTCAACTGGTTAAAATCAACAACAACCTGGACAACTTTCGAAGGCTCACTATGTTATTTTGAAGACCACCGGCAGATGAGTTGCCTCTTTAGGTACTTAGAGTGCTGTTGGACCGAATTACCTGTGATCCTATTTCTAAACCTTAACTAGAAAGTATAGAAGCTCAAAATTTTTCTAGCACTACCAAGTTTGAAAAGGAACAATGTCTAAAGAATGTAGTCAGGAGTCCTGTCGTTATTAATGTGCAAATGTTTCTATGTTTGATAGATGGAACCTCTACTGAACATCAGAAATTTGGAGTGATCGTGCACCATGTAAACCTTTCTACCTACTGTTGGAGATTCAAGTTTGACTTTTTAATGTGCCAAAGAGTTTAATAATTATGTGTTAGTACAGCTACAAAAGAACTACTGAGGGCCGTGAGTTTATCTTAGTTTTCGACCTTAATTTCTCATGCGCAAAATGAGCTATTAAGTCGATTTAAGTCGGATCTTGGTCTTAAGCTCTGTGTGTGAAATAAAACTACGTTAAAATATATACGGAATGAAGCTTTGTGAAAGGATCGTAGGACTGGCTGGTAACGATAAGCCGCTGAGGTCTTCGTCGTAACTGCTTTTGCCTGGCCGCATAGAGACGCATTTATTGCACGAGTAAAGCTTGATGAGCAAGCTACTTTCAGGTCGTCTGTCGCAAGGAGCTCTAATTTTTTGAGGCCTAAAGCTACAGCTGCTACCACCTCCATATCTGTAAATAAGAACGAGGCAATTTCTTAAGTCCGGAATGGTAGGCTCTCTGCTTTGGGGTTGAATAAGCCTTGCGATAAGAATCTGGAGTCGTTGATCGATCAGATTACACAGCTTGCGCAGCTCATGCCGCAGTGTTACTCTATTCCCGTAACAAAAGCGCTAGGATATATGGAAGCCTGCAGCATAAAGTGATTTGGAATCTCATGATATGAGTGACCACGACCGCGTAATGTCTGTGAACAAGATGCATCGCACTAATTTTAGGGGTTTTCAGAATCTCAGTGTTTGATGTGAGGCTCTATTATTGCTCTACATCCAAATGATCCCGCTTTCCAGTGCCTGCGTTTTAACTTTATTAGTGGTTAGCAGGAGATTTCAAATGAGAGGGAGGGTAATAATTGCCTAGATTGTCTGCTCATCTGTTTGAAGTGGGAAGGTTGTGGTCTGAAGAGGCCCACAGCCCTGTCAGCAGAGATTACTGTCAGGATTATAGTGGTAGATCTGGCATGGCAACAAGCTTGTCACTTTTAGGCCTTGATGCACTTGACCTGGACGTCATGGGGAAAGTCCGAGTCGCGGGCCCAAATTGGTTGGTGGCACGACGGCTTTGCCAGCTACCCGTCGATGTGGGGTAGGGGAGGGGGGTCGAAATTCGGAATAGTTCATCAGCGTCCCCTACAAACAGTCAAGTATTCTGCATAGTCTCCAGAGCCCAGATTTGACACGCCCCTTCGACTTTAATTGAGCTGATTCTGTCTTTCTAGCGTATGTACGCTTACGTTAGATTCTCCGACGAACACGACGACAACAATGATATGGGGCAAGTCAACAGGTATTTGGCGAGTCATGCTGTTATGGCCTGAATAATTTATCCTGAGGCAGACATACTAAACGAAATATCGGACTAGCCAATGTTAGCGACATGGCGGACATGGTATTGATAGATTATTCTGATTACAAGTAGTGGATGGAATGGCTTTCAATCATCTTCAGCTTCGCAATTTTTATTTCTCTCTTCTTTTGATCATAATCAACTTTGGTATCTTGCTACCACAATTATCTCTCCCTAATCTATAATTCTTAATTCTACACCTCCATTGTGAACCTCGATAATCACCTTAAATACATCGAAAACGACAGATCCTGCCCCTACTGTATCGCGCCGTAACACATGCAGCAGCAGAAGGATAACTCATCGTTATGTCCTATCATAAGGCAAGGAGAACTTCCCCGACTGTCACAATATCGTCTTCATCTCTCAACAGATTCTCCTTTCACCATTATCATGAAGCTAACCACGATCAGATCAGATGGTAGGGTCGGAGCCCTACTAATCACCAACCCTTGATCATGGAGGAGATGCCATCCGAGGAGTTTTCGGAGCGTACCCAGCACCCGATACGGAGATGGTGGATTGGATCAAGTCGACCTCGATTGTTACAAAGAAGGGAGATATAGATGAATATGCGCACCTCATGTGATCCCGGTGTCTAGGCCTCGCCTGGCTGGGGCTGCAGTTTTTTTGAGACTTTTTCCCGCGCACGCAGTTTCCATTGCTACCATTTTTATTTTTTTGGGTAGAAGGTTCCGTGGAAAAGGTGGCCGAATTCCACGGGTAAACACTGAGCTGAATGGCTATTTATCAAGGGGAATATATCAATGATCTTTCAAGTAACAATAGAGGATAGGAGCACTGTACAAGGTGTGGCCTGGATCAGAGAGGAGCCAAATGTGTTAGATAGTCATAGACTCAAGTAGTTCAATAAACAACACAAAAATGTCCTATCATAAACTATCCATATGTGGCAGAAAAAAGATAACTCCGAGTAAGATTAGCAGAGTTATTTGCCACTCATGCTCGTACATTTGAATCCACTCGCCATGAGTGTTAACGAAACAAGGTGTTGAGGGAAAGAGGAATACCCAGGAGAAGTCTGGATCAATCTGGTTGTGCCAAAAGTGGCAGAATAAGGATCAGAAGGAGTGGAGTGGAGAGGGCGAGATTGGGTGTTGACATAAATTATTAGTTCCTTTTTACAATGTAGATATGCTTGAAATACACGTTCATACTGCCATTCCTATTCCTGGGTGACTACGATAATTCCTAGAGACAGACACTGATTCATGTCTCAACTTCTCCAACAAATCTATCACTATCACTAGTTAGAGACCAGTCTTTCATAGTGTGGCAATGCGCCATGACTATAATGCCTATGTGCGTAACTGTTGCAGTACGCTTCCGACGCATAGGCTTTTCAGGCTATATGTGAGGAATGCGGTACTAAGAGAGCTATTTTGGTACGAATAGTTGATAAATGCTGCGTTTAATTACAAATTGACTCCCGATGATCCAGGCGCGTCTGTATATTGATCTAATGCAGGTGAACGACCGCTGCAGCAAACTTCCTGTAGGTGGGAATTGCTGGGTCACATTCACGGCAGTTCCGGCCCACTCGAGCGCACACTGCATCATCATGTTTGCAACGAGCAGAGCTTCCCTGCCATAGGAGTCACTCGAAATCCCAGCCTTCAGTACGATGCTTGAGCGATTTTTCCGGCAGCTACACATCCGCAAACTAGATCAAGGAGGGCAAGACTGAACACCTATAGGCCGTGTCCCCTACAAGCCTTGGAGTGAAATACTCACCTAGAGCCAAACTCCATAAAATTTCGCAATACCAAAGAAATTGGCCCACGAGGCAATGATTCAAATTACTCCACCATGTCAGATTTTCACTCCCAAAGAGTTCGACTCCTACCCAAGTCTCATCAAGTGTACAAGTACGACCTAGTACATCCTCATCCCAATGACCACACCTCTCGTCGACTATTCTCTAGCCTAAGTTGGCCAGAAAAAAACATGCCCACGCCGATATTAATACCAGCTGGAGGTAGCAAAGCATTGCGCACAAATCTGGAAGACAGTTCTTTGGGATGGACGTGAGAGGGATCAGAACAAGTTCACAAGATGATTCAAACAATGGTTACAATCTCGATTGGCGTCAAATTCTGAATTTTGGCAATAGTTTTACAAATTGAGCTTTGTGCGCGCCAATACTTCGAATATAAGAGTTCTTCATAGTCATAGACTCAGTAGTGACTTAAATTTAATTCTATTCTATTCGAACATAAGAATACAGCTGACACTATACACACAAGTCAACGATACAAGGTGCCGTGTTTCGCCTCCTGGTGGTGTTCTCTGGTATAGTCTGAGTAGCCTGGGCACCTACTTCACTTGGGAAGGAGATATCTCAGATCACATTTCGCGCGGGGAAAAGTTAATGGATGATAGAGACATGTCTGGATAGCTGAGAGTTTTTGAGACGTTTCCATGGATGGGTATTTACGGTTGGGGGTTGAATTGGGGTGAAGAAAAAGCCGCCGTAACTTCGCAGTGGTACTTGCAAATGAAATCCGAGGCATGAGTGCTCTTGTATATTTAGTCATCTTTTCCGTACAATTTCTCCGATATTGTGTCATAGCTAGATAGCTGAATACGCAAATAAAGTCTGGTTCAAAAAAAAAGTCGATAAGTCAACAGCACTCCCCAGAGCCCTGGACGGCACAAAAGAAGTTAGGCTAAGCTACCATACAGCAATCACGCTCTGTCAAGACTTTTCTGACATTTCAGCACGACCTTCGGGAAGGAGTTGTAAGGAGGCCAGAAAGGCAGAGTGTGAATTCTCCGAGGTACCCACAAGTCTGCAGCGCCTAGCTGGCCGGCCTCTTCGAAAGCTTCAGAAAGATCACTATGTCTTCGGATTTAGTCCTAATGTTGGTACTAGATGAGCCCCGCACCCGGTGGTATTTGCAATTTTCCCCGGCTGCCATACACCCGCAAACGGCCATCGATTCGTTGACTGGAGAGGGGAGATATTGAAGGGCAAAGGGCTACTCTTGTTGTATGATCGAATGAGGGCTTGTAAGGGGTGGTACTGTTTGAGGAGAGCTGAACGGGAGACATAGGAGGGGATGTGATACTAGCATAGGTATTTTTGGCCTGTAGGCAGAGAGGACCTGCATGTCCTATATAGTCATAGACTCATACAGTAAAATAAAATAAAATAATTGTCGGAAAGTAGTTCAATTTGCTCTGCACTAAGCGTAGTGTATCTCTATGTTGCTGAGTCATGGTCTTGATGACTCTGCCAATTCCACGAACTACACGTTCGCAATGTTCAAAGATAGAGACAGAAATAATAAATACAAGAATCCATACCTCACTTTCGTACCTTTCGTTTTGCATTGAACAAACCTTACTTATACGTGAATTAAGGCCAATCGATAATAATGATAATACCTAGCAAGGACCCAGGTCAGTAAAGCAATGCCAATCGGCGGTAAGTATATTCGGCCCAGCTCGTATTTGCAAAGAGGAAAATGCCAGAAACCTACAGCTCAAGATTTCCAAGTGGTAACAATAAAGAAATCTCAAATATATGTATGTGTCTTGGCCTCGATGGTCAAATAGCAGAGCAGAGATATTTCGAAGCCATGATTAACACCCAGGTGAAATCAAAAGTTGAACGCAGTGGATCTTAAATCCTGGCTGGATAGAGCAATTTCAGTTGACAAAAGCTGTGGAAATGCTAGTGAGTTAAGGAAACAAGATGAGTAATGTAACGGTATAGGAAGATAGATCGACGAGGTCGAATCTGGTAAATAAGGTTGTCTACAGCGGGGAAACGGATGATGATGATATTATTTAACGTCCATCATTGCGCGTAGCCGTTTCGCGCGCGCACTTTTATGTCTATGAAGGGCAAAGGACACCATGGGACTACTAAGAGTCTAGAATACAGAGCTGTGCCGCGATATGTGCAACTGCGCACAGAAAATGATGGATAAGCTTAAAACAAAGAAAAAGAAAGATATGAGACCTCCACTAGCTCAAGACTGGCGATCAAGCAGTCCCTCTCCCCCGCTCTGTCCATGAAGCCCCCAATCAAAACAAACCAAAAGGTGAGTCGGTCCCTCACCGTGGGCTAATTCTTCGAAATACCTAGAATTTTCCAGCCATTCAGACATAGAAATTGCTCCTTCCGACATACCGATTAAAATCGGAAGGACTTGGTTGATAGATCCAGCAGGCCGTCCTCCGCGGCAACAGCAGAGGATACGGCAGAAACAAAAATTGGTAGGGGTATTTGGTGACCTGCACAGGCAGTAAGTCCGGCTTCGACGTGAATAAAATGAGTGTGATAAGCAGCAAAGTCTCCGTGTCCGGTTCTAGCTGCTAATATGATGCCCAGTGCTTTCCGGCATAGAAGAGGCTCCTTGGGAAATAAGGGGGCGCGCTTGATTTCAAGTTGAGCGTAAGATGAGGGAATATTTTTTTTCCACCAAATATCCCTTATATGGGGCTACCGGGCTTGTCCCTCACTGTCCATGAGAGCAAAGCGAAAAGTTAAACAATTGAAACTTAAAACCTGTAGCTAGTATCTTATTTGTAGATTTTAGGAGTCCTCCATAGTTATTGACTCAGTTAGGACTTTAATACAAATCTAATCTAATCTAATCCCTTATATGGGTCTATAGTGAGATGTTCCATTTCTTGAGTAATGTGGTAGGATGTTTGGGTGGGGCGAGGTGTGAAACCAATTGTTATGACACGCTAGTTGTGGCAAGCAAGAGCTCAAGATTTAAAAGGGAATAAAGCTAAAGGGCAAACCTCTGCCTACAAGCTAGATATATAATGAGATTGGAATTAAGCGAGTATTAATAAAGATGTCATCAGTGCTTCCATAACGCCAGACTGCCGTGGCTATCTTAATCCAACTCCACACCTGTTTACTAATACCTGAGCCGCTTAACACTAATGCACCCTTATTAGCCTCTCAGCTGGCTAGTTCATTGCCTTCGATTCTAGATTGGCTTGGAACCCAGCGTATTTTGACATGGCCCTTAGCGGTATGAGGATGCCGGAGGCGAGTTTGCCATGTGTCGGTAAAAGAATTATACTTGGGCGTTATGAATTGTTCTATGTAATTGCGGTGCTAAGGATGTCGTTATGTCTCTGACAAGGATCTGATTTAGCTCATTAGCGAGGCACGTGGAGTAGAGGAAGAAAGGGCAGAGGGAGAAGGAAGAAGAGACAACGTTTTATGTATTTCGAGATTCCAGTTAATTGACATTATTCACCGACTTCGTGACGGCAACCAATTTGTATTACTTCGTATTTTACCAATACCATGTTTTGGCCACTTTTTGTATCTCGATGAAAGTGGATTGTGATGATGAGGTAACTTTAGGACTTACTATTAGCCTCCTGCAAACTTCTATATTGTCCAAAAGACCCATAGGTTACTGGTGAAACGAGCAGATGGGAGAGAGACGGCTACCTTAATTCCTCGGAGAGCAGCATCGGCTTCTGCATCATACGGCTCTTTATTACTTCCCAATGGGAAAGCAATCGAGCTAATTTTATGATCTAACTGGAAAATGACGAAGCCACCTCCAGCGTTTCCGTCCAGGAGCTTTGATCCATCAGTGTAGACGAGGATATCACTTTTAGGGATGGTGGTCAAGAAATCGGGGAAAATGTTCGCTCTTGATTGGCTTGGTCCTGACTGTGCACCAATACGCTTAAAAGCAATTTGATTTTCTTCTTCTGCATCCCACGGCGGGTCAAGGAGAGGGCCGAAATTCTCGGAATGAGGAATGTCCCTGCATGAGCGAGCGAGTCGAGTCAATGGGGGAAATGGCATTAAATTTCGCGCGCGCGAGGATAGGGGGTGGTAGGGATCTAGACTAAGCATTCGGAGGGCAGCTCTCCTTGTTATATCGTCTAGTGCAATTTCTGCTGGGGAAATTCCTGCCTCCCTCAGGAGAGCGATGGTCGGAGTGGTTGAAAATACAGAAAGGACAGTCCTAGCAGCAGCGGCATGAACTTTATCAAGTGTACTGATATGGGAGCCAACCCTATTTGATATTTGTTTTCCTCTTTTCATTCTTGTTTTTCCGGGCCACCAGGTCGCAGCGGCGAAGTGGGCAATAGGTAAAACGCATGTGATAACCACTTGTCTAGAGAGACTGGGGGATTGTGACAACCAGAAGGGAGCACAGGTTAGCAGATGAACAAGTCGAATCAGGTAAGGACTCAGATCTGGAATATAAATCATAAGATTCTAAACTAAGGGGAGAAAATAACAAGAGGTATCTAGAGATATACATATATACATAATGTACAATTGGTCCGTGCGTATGTAGGATCACAACTCAATACCTGAAAGGAACAAAAGTATTAGAGGCCCCGAGGGTCAGGAATACAAGGCCGTAACAGGGATATTCCTCGAGCTATATTTTCAATGCAGCGAAGAGCGTGAGCTACTTTTAGGGCTTTAGCTGCCTGTATTGTTATATGTTGCTTGAAGGTAAGTCGCTTGTTAAAGTGTACACCCAGCCATTTGAGGAATGGTTTTTGCGGATTTTCTGAGATGAAAAATTGGCTTGTGTGCACGTGAGGGCTAACACCCTTATCCCTATGCTTCCTGCAAAAGTGAAGGAGTTCTGATTTTCCAGGTCCAAAGATTAAGCCTTCTTTGGTGCCCGATGCTAACGCGTCATTTATGGTGGCACTTATCTTGTTCGAGTTTACTTGCAGCGATGCTGATATCTCAAGAACTGCAATGTCATCTGCATAGCCGAATGATTTTTGAGGTCCTTCAATCTTGAAAATTGTTGCAATATTGTGACGGCTTGTGAGCCGATAAGTCCTGTAGCCTTTGATGGCTATAGAAGGCAACCTATATGTTCTATCACTCCGAGGATTACCAGCAGACTAAAACAGATACGTAATCGCCACTGAGGCTATGTAAAGGATAGTGCCAAGAGTGTCGGAAGCGTTACCCGTGTGGCAGAACAAACCTTACGTCAGTTTCATTGCCACTGTAAACGTAGGCTGTATTTAGATACCTCTGGATGTGTATAAGTAGTACGGGAGACTTGCCGGTAGTTTGCTTCTCCATAAATGAATTATAGCTTTACCTTTCAATCATACAAATGCCCAATTGCTTTCTATATTCGAACTATAACAAATATAAAGCATAAAGAGTATTGGTGATCCTTGTGTTACTCCGCAGGAAATCGGTCTTGATTTATCAAATTTTCCCTTTAATCTGATGCGGATCTCACGTTTGGTTAAGAATGACGTAACCCAGCTGTATAGATGAGCCGGCTAGCCTCGTTCCCTTAGAAGTCTAACAAGCCTACCTAAGAGTACAGCATCAAATGCTCCTTTGACGTCGAGCGTAGCCAGTGTAGCTGTTTCACCTTTTGATAGCGCGGTTTCAACGTCGTGAGTAAGGCAAGTGGTTAGGTCTACACTGGAGCGCAGGGGAAGTGCTCCAAACTACTGCCGGGAAAGCACCTTGAACTTGATCGCTATGCAGGACATTCGCTTTGCCACTAGTCTTTCCAGCCCCTTTCCAAGAACTAATAGTAATGCGATTGGTCTATAAGATCTGGGAGAAGTCATATCTGCTTTATTTGTCTTTGCAATGATTGCTACAATTGCAGTGCGAAAAACATTAGGATGATGGCCAATATCCAGGCATTTTTGGAAGAGATCCAGGACAGTTACAGATATATGGGGCCAAGCAAGATGTAAAATAGCTGTTGGAATCTGATCATTTCCAGGAGTGGTGTTACCAGCGCTGAGGATTACCTTCGAAACTTCTTTTGTGGTGTGTTTGGGGAAATGCAGTGAAGATATTGCCACTGCAGGAGAGTCGAGAGGAATATCGTCGACTTCTGATTGATTTGTTAAAAGATTACGCGCCAAGAGATTCATCTTTTCTTCTGTTTCCTGTGATAGCAGAGAGCTCGGTGCCAGCGAATCTTTCAAAGGTGGCTATTGGAATTTTCCCTTTGATTTTTGCCACTTAGTGATATTAAATGCGTCCTTTGCATTTGTGGCATTATCCACTACTTTTTGGAAAAAGAGGAACTTTGCTATTCTGGTGACTTTTCGAAAAGCTCTTTTGTCGGTAGGGGTTGAGTTGCCAGCACAAAATTTCTCTCGGTAGATGTTTTTAGCTTCCTTGCAACTATTTTTCCACCATGGTTGTCCTCTATTGTGCGGAAGCTTTCTTTTCGAAGATCCTGCATAAGATTCATAGAATATCCGGACTAGCTCTTCAGCTCTATTGTTTAGGTTTTCAGGGGTGCTGGAGTTGAGCGTATGGACTTCGGAAAGGAGAGGACAAAGGATTGCGATAAACTTTTCTTGGTCACTGGCTCTGAAGCGAA